ACTCCTCAGAGAGGATTAACGCTCGAAAGAAAACACCATATTCACAATAACCCTCAATGGTGAGGGGAGCAATGCTTCCAGAGTGTGTCGACAGAGACACACTAGTTGAGTGGAGCCCAAGGTACCGGGGTCTAACCAACTCGGAGAAAGGGAACGAGATAAAAAAATGCGTAACCCTTACCATACAGGATTTTAGAAAAGTGGGCAAAGCATAACGTGCACACTTACCACTTATGTGGATTTTAGAAAATTGGGCAAAGCATAATGTGCACACTTACCAGCTATGTGGATTTTAGAAAGTGTGCAAAGCATAACGTGCACACCTACCACTTATGTGGATTTGTAGAAGCTTAACGTGTGCATTTACCATAGTATTTGGATTTTAGAGTTTTCCGAACATCTGTTTACAGATACCCGGAAGTACTGGGCCAAACGGGAGAGGCAAGCTCAAATACAATCCTCAAAGGTGAGGGGAGCACTGCCCGAGACAGCATTTACACAGGAAGGTTCTCGTAATGCCACCTATACTTCCCACTCGATGCCTCAGCAAGAGGGGATATCCTGGTGATCGGGAAAAACCCCTCAGGGTGACCCAGATATGGTAGACCAGTCAGGGTAGCAAGAAAGCGTAACCCCAGCCCAGACGTCCAGGAAATATCTGCAGTGACGCGCCGGGGGCCCGATGAACACGAAGGCTCCCGCAGAAGCCTGTGTAATGGCCGCATGATCCAGGAAGTATGAAGCTGAAAACCGGCTTTTCTTACCGTCTGGACATATATCGACAAGTGAAATACACATTGCAAGTCGAGCACCCGGTTCTAAACCCGGCTTTCAGAGGGCCTCATCGAGGACTTATCCTAGAAAAGGGACAGAACACACAGGTCCCGGGAAACACTGCAAAGAAACTAGCAGAGGTTAACACACACCCACCAGTCTCATTAGATACACCTATATATTCATATATACTGTACATATATTAGACATGGATCATACAACCAAACCTAATAGGTCCAGCATAGGAGACTATAATGCAGGAAAATTCCCACCTAACCTTGGTCAGGTGGAGAGATGGTGGTTACAGGGGAATTCGGAAGGTGAAGATAAGGGCAGATGTAAGACCCCCGAAAGAAATGAGTAGATACTGAGGTATCATTCTGATCCGGACAAAAGCACTGACGCCCTGTCTGCATCACATCCCTTAGGTCTTTTACTTACCTTCCTTTGACCCGCGACTTTTCCTACCCCTACCCACGGGCGGGGGAGGAGCGTGAGCCGTGACACTAGCCTTCTGAGCCAGTCTCTGATCCTCAAATCGAGACGGGCTAGGACCCATGGGTTGTTCGGGCTCAGACCTGGACTTCTCTCCCGGTCTTTCAGCCGGTCAGCCTGATATGCTTGGAGCATCACCATCGTGTGCAATGAAGCGACAGCCTGACCTGCTACTGCTGCGTATGCCCTGGCATCCGAGCAAGATGTCAAGGAGGGGAGTCTTAGAGGACGTCTCACCCATAGAGAGATAGCTGGCCAGCGTCTCTCTATAGGGGCATCTTCTCATAACCGCTTTCACGCATCGCCTCAATGTTGGCATAACTCGTATGCTGGAATCGATGGTTGCGTGACGAAAAAACGGCCTCTTCCATTCCTTCTCAATCTTTATATGAAAAACAGGAAGAAAGGAAGGCTCACCTGAGCTGGAGGGTTATGGCCTGAAAAATA